CATTATTTGCAGATGATACTATATATAGAAAACCCTAAAGACTCTACCAAAAAACTACTAGAACTGATAAATGAATTTAGTAAAGTCACAGGATACAAAATCAATTTGTAGAGATCTGTTGCATTTTAATACCCTAATAATGAAGCCACAGAAAGAGAAATTAAGAAAATAATCCCATTTATAATCACACCAAAAACAATAGGATACCTAGGAATAAAAAAAGAGGTGAAAGACCCATACTCTGAAAACTATAAAACATTGATGGAAGAAATTAAAGAGACAAAGAAATGGAAAGACATTCCATGCTCATTGCTTAGAACAATTATTGTTAAAATGTCCATACTACCCAAAGCAATTTACAGATTTAATGCAATTCCTATCAAAACACCAAAAACATTTTTTCACAGAACTAGAACAAAAAAATCACAAAATTTATATGGAACTACAAAAGACCCTGAATAGCCAAAGCAATTTTGAAAAAGAAAAATAAAGCTGGAGATATCACAATTCCGGACTTCAAATTATATTACAAAGTGGTAGTAATCAAAACAGTATGGTACTGGCACAAAAATAGACACATAGATTAATGGAACAGAATAGGAAACACAGAAATAAACCCACAATTTTGTGGTCAATTAATCTTCAACAAAACAGGAAAGAATATCCAATGGGATAAAGTCTCTTCAACAAATGATGTTGGGAAAACTAGACAGGCACATGCAAAAGAATGAAACTGGACCACTTGAAGAGAGCACAGGCAGTAATTTCTCTGACATTGGCTCTAGCAACATTTTTCTAGATATGTCTCCTGAGGCAAGGGAAATAAAAGAAAAAATAAGCTATTGGGACTACATCAACATAAAAAGCTTCTGCATAGCAAAGGAAATAATCAACAAAACTAAATGGAAACCTATGGAACAGGAGAAGATATTTGCAAATGATATCTGATAAGGGGTTAGTATCCAAAATATATAAAGAATTTATACAACTCAACACCCACAAAATGAATAGTCCAATTTAAAAATGGGCAGAAGACATGAACAGACATTTCTTCAAAGAAGACATCCAGATGCCAATAGACACATGAAGAGATGCTCAGCACCACTGATCATCAGGGAAATACAAATCAAAACCACAATGTGATATTACCTCTCACCTGTCAGGATGACTAAAATAAAAAACACAAGAAACAAGTGTTGGAGAGGATGTGCAGAAAAAGGAACTGTCTTGTACTGTTGGTGGGAATGCAAACTGGTGCAGCCACTTTGGAAGACAGTATGGAGGTTCCTCAAAAATTATAAATAGAGCTACCCTATGATCCAGTAATCGCACTACTGGGTATTTACCCCAAAATAATCCAAAAACATGAATTCAGAGGGATACATGCACCCCTCTGTTTATTGCAGCATTATTTACAGTAGCCAAACTATGGGAGCAGCCCAAGTGTCCATCGAATGATGAATGGATAAAGAAGATGTGGTATAATAGACAATGGAATATTATTTGGCCATAAAAAAGAATAAAATATTGCCATTTGCATGAATGGAGCTAGAGAGTATAATGTTAAGCAAAATAAGTCAGAGAGATAAATACCATATGATTTCACTAATATGTGGATTTTAAGGAACAAAACAAAGAGCAAAACAAAAGAGAGAGAGAGAGGGAAACCAAGAAGTGACTCTTAACTATAGAGAACAAACTGATGGTTATCAGAAGGGAGGTGAAGGGGAGGATGGGTGAAATAGGTGATGGGGATTAAGGAGTGCACTTGTCATGATGAGCACTGAGTGATGTATGGACTTGTTGAATTACTATATTTACACCTGAAACTAAGATAACATTGTATGTTAACAATACTGGAATTTAAAATTTTTAAAAGAAATAGAGGGAAAAAATTAGAAAATGTTTCAAGAAGGAGGAGATGATATTGAAAGTGCTTAAGAAGTTGAGAAAGATGAGGATGGAGAAATAATTTTTGGATTTGTCAACATGGAAGTTATTGATGACCTTTAACAGTTTTGGTGGAGTTATGGGTTCAGAAGCTCACATTTGAATAAAATGCAGGAGGTAATCAAGTATAGATCTCTCTTTAAGGAAGATGGGTTTTTTTGTTTTGTATTGTTTTGTTTTGTTTTTGGTGAAGGGGAGTTGACAAATGGGGAAGTAGCTGGAGGAGAATGTGAGGTCAAGGAAGGGTTTTTTTTTTCTCTCTAAAAATTGAAGACATGCTTGATATCTTCCTCTCTCTTTCATGCTTCCCCCAAATTTGAACCATCACCAAGTTCTATTTATTTACCTCATAAATCACTCAAATCTATCCTTTTCTTTCAGTTACCACTGCCACCATCTTATTTAAGTTATCATTATCCCTCACATAGATTACTGCAGTACAAGTTATAACTGACACTCTACCTTTACTATCATCCTCATTAAATCTCTTCACACTTCAGCCAGACATTTTCCAAATACACATCTAATCAAGTTACCAGACCATTCCATCCCATTCCCCACTATATTATAAAGGACTTCCCATTGCTTTTAGGATAAAGACAAGCGGCATGACTTTTTTTTTTTTTTTTTTAGATTTTATTTATTTGCGAGACAGAGAATGAGAGACAGAGAACATGAGAGGGAGGGGGGTCAGAGGGAGAAG